AACTCAATCTGAGGGCACTAGCGTCCACTCAACTCAAACGTAGTTTACCTTAATTTCCACATCAAGTGGGAGTCCTTGCATTAATACATACAGTTGTTTGTTGGATGAACATGCCAGGTGGTTCAGTTAGTTCTGAAGCATGACCTGTTCAGACTAATATCAGATTCTCACTGAAAAAATCAAGTGTAAAAAAGGGCACAGATTTGACCACCTGATTCATGAAACTGGAATGTGGAAACAAGCAAAATTTTCTGCACAAATGACAACCTGTTCTTCGGTGTGTGAAATCAAGTGCCAGCCTAACAGCACCTTATTTACATATCATTTACTATTTTGAATTCATTTAGATGATTCGGTAGGGAGCCAATCCAGGGACAGCATTCAGTGAACCATGAGCCAATGGCTATGCTCATAGGTGAAGCAGTCGAGTGAGGCTGAGCAGTGGGTGTACTGCTCTCTTTACTGACCCAACTTTATAGCGTTAAAAATCCAATGCCTGCAAAGAAATTATGAGATAAACAAAAAATGGTAAAATGATCTGAATGTGTAATGTGATTATCTTCCTAAAATATCACATTTAAATGTGTTTTCTGCCATGTACAAGAGGCTGTTGCAATAACTGTGTTTTGTATTGTTTTAATTTTTGGGTGGCATCAGTGGTCTAAAACAAAAGCACAGTGTAATATATCTTTAAATGGAACACTGAATAGATGGAGCATTTTTTTGTAATGGTGTGAGTGTAAAATATATACATTCACTTTTGTACTGGATTGCAGTGTCCACAAATTATTAGTATTATTGTTTTTTTTTGGTTTTTATTCATATTACCGGTCTTATAGATGAGATGGATAGTGACTGATAGTAATAATGAAAAAATCTGGTTAGTTAACTACAAATAAAGCATTTTTTCCAGGTTGTTAAACTATTCTCCTCAAATTAACATATTCCTACCAGACATGAGTTTGATCACACGAATACACCAAAGATGAAACTGATGATTAACAAAACTGGTGGTCAAATTTGTTTGCACTCATTTTACAGTCAGATTTGACAGTATGTTATGAAAAACCAAAGAACAAAATCTGAACTGACAGCCACTTTTACCTGCAATCTGAATGTAGCCTTAGTTCCAATTTCTTCTATTGACTGAGAGCCATTTTATGCCACCTCCAGCATTTTCAAGTCCTGTTTTAGGTCTATATAGTTACGATGAATAGGCCAAGCTCTCCTAAACTGGCTCTGCTTTTACTCTGGGGAGCTAAACCTGCTTCTTTTGCCCCAAAGCATTCAACACTTGATGACAGAAGTGATTTACTTCGCTCTAAGTGCAGCATAGCCTGCCTCACTGGGTACCCTTTGAAAATAGTGACCATGCCCTTGGATACAGTTGTACCTATCTATTGCATATTTCAGTTAAACCAGGATGTCCAGATTCAGGATTACACATGTGCCACAGTGGGCACAATAAGCGTCTAGCTGCCTGTAGCTACCAGCTAATTCTGCTCATGCCCCAGGCAGGCCTTTAACTTTTTCCCCCGGACACTTATTTCATGCAAAACAAGGTGAACAGGGCTACAGCTGTTACATATTTAAACACCAGCGGGTTTAGTTTAAAACACGACAATGTTTGGGACACATTTTGTGATTCCGATGAGTTTACACTCTCTATGCTGTCAGTGGGCCACACTGTCCCAGGACCACCAATCAGCTGCTGAGTCTGACAGCAGAACGCTACCCTGGCTGTACAATTAGTTATGGCCCATATATACAGGACATAAAATGTAGTTATTACAGTGTTTGTTCCTCAAAAACATTCAACATGATTATAATCCTCAGATTTCCAAAATATATCATGAAAAACTGGGTGCATTTGGTTTAACAGGTATTTGCTCATATGAAAATTAAATATATTGAAATACGCTGTCAGGATATATAATAGCAGTATAGGAATATACTGTAACATATTGTTGCTGCCATATCGGAAACTGAACATCATCATAAACCGTCTGTTTTTCATGAAATCATGATGAATGGACCAATGACAAGGGTTCAGAATGACTGTACATTAGAGTTAATGTAAATGTATGTTAGATTTAAGAACATTTTTCCATTACTATTTTAGATATATGAAGTCTTATTTTACATTCCATAATTTTAGTAGAATATATTTGAACATACATGTTCTACATTACACATTCTCTACACAGAACACCCTTCTGCACATTTTAATGCACAATTATTGTTTATTTGCTGAGAAAAATGAAATGAAATGAAATGAGACCTGGTTTTATGGTTCAATTTTCATGGCACATTTAATGTTTTATGTTTTCCAATATGTGAACCTCAGCAAATGAATAGAAATCGTGCACTGACATTTGAAATATGCCATATTAAAATTTGTTTCCTATAAAGGATATTTGCTATTTTAACCTAGAAAACCTATAAAATATGTAATTTGACTGGGGGTGTTCAAACCTTTGCATACAACTATATATTACAACATATTTTCAATATACTGCATTTCATATGGGCAAAGGTAAAGTTCCCAAAGTCACAGTAGAATGTTGCCAAGTTTAAGATGCATTCAGCTCACTCTTCTCCAAACACATCATCTCTGACACCATATATCACTGTGGAAACACAAACAGTGCAAAGTTAAGTGTGGGTAACTATGGAAAACAGTTACTGTACATTTAGACTGACTGAGAGCACTGACTATTTCAATCAAACCTTAAAATGCATAGTGCTGTTGATATTTCACATGATTAACAGAGTGTCTCCTGAAGCAGACACAGTTCACTTTTTTCAGAAACTGGGAACTGAAAGTTGACCCTTTGATTTTTTCATTTGATTGGTATTTGTGTGTGAGAGGGAGAGTTGTTGTTGTTATTGTTGTCATTGTTGTTGGTGGTGGTGTTATAAAGATGCACAATCTTTAACAGCAGTTCATATAACACAGCTGGTCAATCTTGGTCAAGTCACAGGTATTGCTGTACACCTAGAAGTCCTGAGTTTAACCCCATCTTTCATCTTTACCATCACCTTCCTTTTCCTTTGACCCCATTTGCACAAAACCATAGATGTAAATATTAGAGACCTACATTGCTGATCACATTGTTTTATACAAGGTCACATGAAGCCACTTAGTCACCATACTTTTTTATTTAAACTGCAGATGTTTACTTCAATGATGCCCAATTTCAGGTTATACATTTGATGTATGTCTGTGTTTAATTGCTTTAAAAATTATGAGAGTGACTGATGTTAACTTGTCTAGCAGTACTAAAAGAATCACTAGCTACATTACTAGTCAATTTATCTCTACAAGCATCCAAAACACAGCATATGCTGGTTTTGCTGGTGATCAGCAGAACTTCCATTGTTGCTAACCAGCATAGCAACTTCAAAACCCACCATATGCTGTTTTTTTCTGGCGATATGCTGTTTTTTCCAGCAGGGCTATTAATAACACTGTGTGGACATTAAATGATGAACAGACCAATAGAAATTACTTGGAATACTACTCAAGAATCACTAGCTAGCCATTTTTCTTTGCTAGCATTAGCTAGCTATGTTAGCTTGCCAGCTTAAGCTTTTTATTCAATGAAGTCAAGGTAAGCAAGTAAGTCAAGACACTGTGAGAATATTTTATACTGTTTGGACCAATAGAAATGGTGCTAATTTGCTTAGAATATTACTCATGAATCAATAACTCAGCAAGCTAGCCATTTTTTTTTTTCAAATTATAGCTAGGTATGTTAGCTTGCCAGATTAGGCTTACTTATTTATTTATTTATTTATTTATTTATTTTCACTGCTTATTTTAATAAACGCTTCAGATTATGGTATACTCTGGTCTCAGGAGGTAAGACTTTTGGTTTTTCAGTTTAATTGTTGAGCAAAAAATGAATTATATTCAGACATTTTCTGTAAAAAAAACATGAATACTTTTGATTCTGCCATGTATCTTACAGAAAATTGGCATAAATCAGTGTAAGTTCATTGGGGACAGCTCTGGGAATGCACCTCTGGAGCAGTGGCTTCAGGTACCTTACCATGCTAGGTCTCTAATAGGTACATCCACAACACAATCTTATTACATAGACTGTGGATTACAAGCACGGCCTTGGCAAAGTTTGTAGGTAGGGTTAGGCCTAGGGTCAGCTATCGTCAGATCATGGAACAGGTTTGGCCCATAAACAACTAGCCAACATGCTTATCTACCCAACAACCCAACAGATAATGCTGTTAAACATTATTTCAAAAGGTTCAACTCTCAGTTACCAGTTCCAAAGAAATAAGAAACTACAAACGTCTCAAAATGTCTCAGTGTTGTAACTTCTTCGACTCAAACTCAAAACATTACTTCAGGGCTGTTGTGCCCCCCTTTGGCAGTGTGGAGTATTACTATAATCTGCTCAGTGCAGAAGGTAAGAACCCACAGTAAATCGATAAACAACACGTAACACACACTTATACAGCATGAGCATATCCTAAACAGCCCTTAGAATCATGCAAATGGATCAAAATACACTGTATGGATACACCTTCACTTTCCGTGTTAAAACAACACCTCCAACTCCTCCACTGTCCTACACACATGACGGGCCATTACTGTTACACATCGCGTCCAGATGTGATATACAGATGGAGGGATGCACAGCTGAGCTCTACAGGTGCTATTAGACTACTGTAAATCCATGCATCACTTCATGCACTGAGGAGCAGGAGGATCCTTGAGGTTTCCATGCATCTCCAAAGTCCAGGGTGGACCATGACAGTCCAGCAAGAAGGTGAAGGAGCAGAGTTAATCATTTCTGAACTCACATGTCCTGTTCATCATGTGGATCCCATGAAACCTCTTAACTCCTTTTCTTTCCTTTATGTTTTTGCTTTCTTTCTTTCAGTAGGTCTACGCTTTGTGGTTTCCATTGAGAAGTTTAGCTGGTAGATTAAACAGTCTGGATCACAGTCATTATTTGGACTGGTGTGAATACTTGTTTGTAGATTTGTTTTTTGCCACTGTTGTTTTTAGTCGTTTGTCAGTGTTCACTGTTCTCTGGTTTGTGATGGGACGACATTGTTATTTCATACCGCTGCGGAGCACCTGATTGGCTGCGATGAGCATAACGCTGATGATGAAAGCAATGGCGAAGGCGCAGATAAGACTCTTCCTCACGCACGTCTGCTTCACCTGCTGGGTCGGACTTGATGCTATAGAACGAAATAGGAAAAAGGGAATGAGTACATACTATTAAATGAATCACTGCTGTGCTGAAGATGCTCCACCACCCAAAATAATGGAACAATGGTCCTGTGGTCAGAAACTGACCAATGATGGATGAGGAAAGGACGCCTGACAAACTGTACAGCAACAGTACACATATATGGCACAACTATAAGGTAGTGGTTTCTAACAAAGAGACCAGCAAGTGAAAGTACAGGGCAGGTGTTTCTAATAAAGTGGCCAACACATGGAAGTAAAGGGTAGATGTTTCTTGCAAAGGGGCCAGTGAGTGGAAGTAAAGGCTAGGTGTTTCTAATAAATTGGCCAGTAAGTGAAATTACAGGCTAGATGTTTCTAATAAGGTAGATATGATGTCACATTCAGAATCACACACTGACAGCTTTAATGAACTCACAGTCGATGTCCACTTGACAGTCCTCAGGGTTCTCGATGTGGTTTTCCTCAGTCATGATGATGTTCTCAATGTCTTTCATGGACAAGTGGTCACAGAATGTGTCGTACAGGAGCCGCTTCAGCTCCTCCACTGTGAGCTTCTGCATATCACACTACAAAACAAGGTAAAAATGACATTATAAAATGGGTAGCATAGAGGCTAAACTGCTTCTCTGTTAATATTCAGGGTTTGGATTTTAATCGACGTGTTTACTGAATGATGATCGTGTAAAACTCTCATTTTCCATGTGCCATCAAAACAGCTCGACCCACCAAGGCACAAAATCTACAAGACCTTTAATGATGCCCTGTGGTATCTGGTACCCATATGTTAGTAGCAGATCTTTAAGTCACGTTAGTTGTGAGGTGGAGGCACCACAGTTTGGTCTTATAGTTTCAGAACATTCCACAGATGCTCGACCAGATTGTATCCCTAAAACCTTTCCCGAACAATACATGTAGTGTGGCAGAGCTCATTATTCTGCTGAAAGAGACTATTGTCATCTGGGAATACCACTGGAACGAAGGGGTGAATTTTGATTTGTGCCACAGAAGCCATTCTGTCGGTCCATTGTTGGTAGGGACTCACCTCTGTTGGCCAGAAGCACCCCGCAAGCCTTGCCACTGGGGAGATGCTCCAATCCAGTCATCTAGTTATAACAATTTGGCCTTTGTCAAAGTCACTCAGGTCTTCATGCCTGCTCATTTTTCCCACTTCCCACATATCGACAATGAGAACTGACTGTTCGCTTACCACCTAAACCATCTTACCATTGATATATATATATATATATATATATATTTTTTTTTATATATTATAATGATTTAATCATTTTTTCCTGTGGTATCTAGATTACCTGTACAGCCAAGCAAGGCCTAGATCTTAGTCATGGTTTGCCACTGAACTACAGCAGGGCTTGTTTACACATTGTATCAACATGCAATGGTGATCAGATCACATACAGATTTCACATGACCACATGAAAAGCCACAGGTAAACTTCCCCAGGACACACTGCGATCGGATTAGTATCAGATCACTGAAACCACATTTGGAGGTGGCCAGAAACAGATCTTGACCACATTTTAGCATTAATGGAATGTTTTTGGTTTTTCTACATGCAGTTATGTAAGCAGAAATGCATCTGCTGAGTGCAGATGAGAAGCTGAGAGGGTGAAAATGGAAATGAAAGATAATGTAGGACTGAACTCTGGACTGACGAAAGTGTCCAAGTCCAGCTTGACAACTCACAGGAAAAAGTCAACAAAACTAAAACTGAAATGATGCATGTGTTGATGTAAAATCAGATCTGATCTGGTCACACTGGGGATGCATTTTAGTGAAAAGTGTAAATAGAATCCAACTAAATTATGTTCAGATATGATCTGGACCCTAACATGGTAATGGAAGGTGTGGACAGTCTACATAAATGTACATGAATGCACCTATAAAAATGTACATTTGATATCAACACATTTTCTAAAGCTTTAAAATACATGAGCACCGCTGTGGATGCAATTTACAGCAATTTGCAAAGCACCTCTTTGTTTGACTGCTTAATGAGCGGTTAACTGCAGAGTGAGTGGGAGGGCGTTTAAGTTCCTGATTTGGTCTGTGTGTGTGTGTGTGTGTGTGTGTGTGTGTGTGTGTGTGTGTAAGACAGCAGCAGAAGAGTGTGTGTCTCTTGTCAGTTTTAATAAGCGTGAGGTGCCAAATAATCACCTTCCAGAACACTGAGTCAAAACCTGTTCCATTGAACTTGTCAGGCATTCCAGCAGCAGAGAGCTTCGGACCCAGCAGTGTTACAAACTCCTCAAAGTCCACCTGTCCATCGCCTGGGGGCAGAGGGAGAACCGAGTATTAGAAATTAGCACGTCATTTGTTATGAGGAGTATGAATCTCAAATAGCTCCTTACTCCATATGTAGTGCACCATGTAGGTCATGAAATAGCAACATCTATACACAAATAGAGCCTCATGTCTAATAGAAAGTCATCTGGAATTCAGCACAGGAAGTTTCATGACTTACGTAGTACAATTTATATAGGTACTAGGGAGTCATTTGTGATCCAGCATGGATCTTAATGGATGAAGAAGCATTTAGAGATAGTTATGATGAACTGAGAGTTCATTATTTTACAAATGGTCATGTAGGTATGTTAAATGAATTTGTGAAGAATTAAAAGACTTTTCTCATAGACTATGCTAGGAGATGGATTCCCAAACCCATTCACCCTCACACTATGCACATCTGTGTGCTTTGTCTCATCTAGCACACCTGATTCAACTCATTAACTAATTAACAAGCTCCTCCTTTGCTGGGGTAGGTGTTTTGAAGTATGGAAAAAAAAAAAAATGTGCAAAGTATGGAGCCTTGACTGACCTTCTCTGTGCTAGAAAAATGTTATCTTGTAAAGTGAAATGATCTTAAATCTAGTCAATATATCTAATATTTCCCATTTTGAGATGATTGTGGAATTATAATAAGATTATCCAGCTTATTTGTACGTTTCTTAAAACAAGCAAAATTATCTGCCAATACAGTGAGATAACTTAAAACAAGTAAAATGTGTCTAGTAAAAAGGTTAACAATCTTAAATTAAGCTTACAACAATCTCAACAGGAGAAATATTAGATTTATTGACTATATTTAAGATAATTTTACTTGACAAGATACCATTTTTTTAAGTGTTACCAACACAGGTGTTCATTTTTGCACAAACAGCTTGTATAATCTGCATAGAAAAGCACTGGCAATAAAATAGGATGCTCTCAAGCAGCTGCACATAAGCGTGAGGTCACTTTATCAAGTATCTGCTTTAAAGAGTATATAGTCCCCTGGCACTGGGCTGTGGAGCAATGGAACTGCATCAGAAAAGCTCCATTCAGTATCTAATCATCCAACACTGGTACCTGACCTTACTAATTCTCTTGTGGCTGAATACAAATCAAATCTTCACAGCAATGTACCTACATATAGTACAAAGCCTCCCCATAAGAGTAGAGGATGTTACTGCAGTGAAGGGGGGGAACTCCATATTAATACCTTTGGTTTCCCAAGAAGTGTCAGATGAGCAGGTATCTAGAAACTTTTGGGCAAAAGTTCCTAAACTATAGTTTGGTTGTGTTTTTTGTGTGAAGCTGATGGACTGTTTCTTCTCACCATCCATGTCCAGTCTCTGGATGATCACCTCCAGCTCCACTTCATTGGGCATGTAGCCCAGAGAACGCATGGCCATGCCCAGCTCCTGCTTCGAGATGAATCCGTTCCCATCCCGATCGAACACCTTAAACGCCTCACGGATCTCTGAAAGAGAGTCACACAAACACAGATTTTACCAAAAATATTAGGGGCTTAACTCTCTGAACTTATTTCTTACACTGGAAAATAACCAGAGCCAACATTAAGCACTTACAGCACTGTAGAAGATAAACTGCCCTTCATTTATTTAATTTCCAATCAGCCATTAAGCACAAGTTATTAATTTTTCAGGAGATATTTCAATGGTGATTAGATACAAGATGATCCACTTACACAATGAAGAAGAAAGTCAAAGGACAAGAATTTTATTAAACTGTTGGGGGGGGGGTGGGGGGGGTAATGGGACTAATAACTGCAAGACCTGATAGACCACTAAGACTGTTCCCATCAGATAAACAGCACTTAAAGCTTTCATCTTTGAGAGAGAGGAGAAAATCAAGCTGCTTCAGATCTGAAAACATCCACAGCCGTCCTTCCACTGTGAGAGGACAACTCAGTGCTATGGGTCTGAAAGGATGTGTAGCTGTCGAGAAGCCCTCACTGAGAAAAGGAGACAGACTCAGAACAATGGACTGGCCACCCCAGAGTCCAGACCTCAACACCACTGAATGTGTTAGGGATTATTTGGATGGTGAGAAGCAGGAAATGCAACCAACTTCTAAGAACTAAGAACTTCTAAGAACTTTGAAAGTGTGGAAAAATATCCCATTGATTTCAGTTTTTCTTTGAAAAAAAGAAAAGAATAGCAGCTGTAATAAAAGCAAAGGGTGGACACACTAAACCCTGAAAGATCTGATATTATGTTTAGTTGTTGAAGCTTTTTCCTGTTGAATATATATGTTTTCTGCTTTTTTTCTGAGGCTAAAAAAATACATAGAATAAATAGAAACATTGAATGGCTCTTTTGTGTGAAAATGAAATAAATAGGGTGGTCTCTGACTTTTGCACAGTGCTGTATTTTGTTGAATACTATTATAATCAGTGCTAACATTCCAAATTTAGTGTATTCAACTCTGCAACTCCGGATCAAATATGAATCTCTGCAACAAAAGAGAATGTTTAATATGCGTGAATATTAAACAATGCATGAGTGACATTATCATCAGCGACAGATATTAAAATGATCACACATTAGTGACTCTGAAAGACGAGGGATCATCATATTGTTCCAGCTTTTAAAGACCCACTCTCATGCATCATGATGGCTGGCTGCGAGCGGTGGGATTTCCATAACATCCGTACCGCTCTGTTAAAAGCTTCTAACACCGAGGCGCTTGTGGTTGACTGAGCCATCTCATTTATATGCATTACCGATCATCATTCAGTCATATGCAATTTTCCACTTGTCAAGTCATAATGTCAAAATCATAATTATGAAATATGTGGCACTCGTGGGGCACATGGCTGCCGCATACCACTTTTAATGCATTGGGTTATATATTGGATATATGAAGTGTGATATTAATGTACTAGAAGAGCTATTTCTGGTATAAGTTTGATAAATGGCCACAGGGCTGAGAGTCCAAACAAAATCAGCGTCATTAAATTTGTTCCACTTCACCAAGTACACAGATATTTTCAGGGATGTAGTGATAAAAAAGAAGAAGAATGGATAAACCACAAACTTCAGTGGGTTCCCAATCACAATCAACGTAACGATGGTCAGCTTCATACACCAAGCTTATCTTTTCATACTTTTAACCCTCTAGACCCCGCAGTGGCCTCTGCTGTCCACTCTGCAGTTCACTGTAATGGCCATCATATTCTGAGGTGAGTTCCAATAGAAAGCTGAGGAAATATTGACCTTCATCACAAACTATATTTTAAATTCTTAGTTCTATATGTTTTAATAAAAAAAAATATATATATATATATATCAGTTTTCATGCAAAAATAGTTTTGTGCATTTATTCATCCTTTTTTTTTCTTGAGGCCAAGAAGCTATTAAGATGTGCTAAAAGTAGCATCAGACCAGGACAAAAAAAAAAGTCTGATTTTTTCTTTTCTTTTCTAAATAGCAGTGATGAAGTTTAAGACATAATTCTTTTCAAATCTTTGTTTAGTGGTGTGCTTTAGCTAATTTACTGAATGAATAGCCAATTTCAAATTGCTTTGCTAACGTTTGCTACCTTTATGGCACTCAGGATTGTAATTTTAATATTTTCTAAAAAATTTGTGTAGATTTACAACAGTTCATATCTCATAAGAATCAGCTAACTGATTAACAAAGCTGTGTTCAGAGTGACTGAGGATGCTCAGCTTAAGTTATCCCTATTAGTCCCACAACGGGTAAATTTCACCTCTGCATTTTAACCCATCTGTGCAGTAAAACACTCACATACACACTAGTGAATGCACACACACTAGGGGGCAGTGAGCACCCCTAACCAAAGCGCCCAGGGAGCAATTGCGGGTTAGGTGCGTGGCTCAAGAGCAATTCAGTCACATACTATTGGCTCAAGGGATCAAGCCGGCGACTTTCTGGTCACAAGGTTGGTTCCCTAACCTCCAGCCCATGACCGCCCCCCATAAAACAAAGGCTTCAAGCAAGATTTGATCCAACAACTGTTTTATGAATTTTCATTTTCATTCAATTTTCTTCTTTACTTGAATGTCGATTAGCAGTCAAAACATAAGCCAAACAAATGAATGCACAGATAGTTTGCACATTTATTCATCCCCCCTTTTTTAGAGGCCAAGAAACTATTAAAGTGCACTGTAACTAATGTCAGACTAGGAGACAAAAGAGTTCTTATCTAAATAGCAGCGATGATGCAGAAGTAAGTTCAAGCTCATATCTTATAAGAATCAGCTAAATGATTAGCAATGCTGCGCTCCACAGACTGGCTAAACGAGTGCCTGAGGATGCTCAGCTTCTTTACCTGAATGTCATTCAACAGTCAAAACGTAAGCTAAACAAATCAAGGTTTACTTGGCTATTTCTCTTTCTTCAAAAGTTGTTTACCATTCAAACTTTTAACTTCCTTTTTTAGTATTTCTAAGAAAAGGTGTGATGTGTGAAATATCAGCCTTTACCTAACATTACAGGGGTATGACATGATTGTTTATAGCCTAATTTCACGAGCATCACTTGAACATCGTTTTGCAGACAGTTCATTCTACATCTCCATTCATTATTTATAGGAACGGTTCTTTGTTTATATGTGTTTTCCACATTACATTACCCATCATTTTCTCTCTCAGTCCTTTCGATTTCTATCTCTTGGTGTTACATTCATATGAAACAGATGACACTCGTCCTCAAATTAAATCAATGTCATTTTCCTCCTGGTTTTATGATAAATATTTTTGTTTGAAACAGTAAAAAAAATGAGCCTCTCTAACTGAAAATTGTCAGTAATCCACAAGAGTGTTTTCAAACTCTGTTGGGAACTAAAGGGTTAAACGCTGTAGCATTATTATTTCATGTGAGCTGCATTGCAGATTTGTTTGCATATCATTGCTGCTGGAATAAAACCTTGTATCTCCAAAATGGTAACTTTACAGGAGAAGAAAAAACATGGCATTTCAAGTAATTTTGCACCATTTCTGTTCACCCATTAAATGTTTATATAGCATAATGAAAAAACTGGCATTTTCAATTTATGTAAAAGAAACAAAATTAAGGTTTTGTCCAAATATGCTTTTACTTTGTAAAACAATTTTAATATTTAAATGATATAAAAAGTCATGAAGTCTTTTTGTTTAAATGTCTGAAAAGAAATAGCTACCGATGTATGTGGGGGTGGGGGGTGGGGGTGTGGGGTGGCACTGGGGCTTTTTGTTTATGGGTATTAGACTGGACAGAGCAGGGGTCCAATTCATCTCCGAAGCTTAGTGTCTTAATAAACCTATATTTTATAGCTTGGCCTAGTTCAATGGCATGTTGGAGTGGGGGGTTGTTGGGGTGGCACTGGGGCTTGTAGTTTATGGGCTGCTAAACTGGACAGAGCAGGGGTCCAATTCTTCTCTGAAGCTCATTGAGTCACACATAAATACAAATTTCACCAAAAATATAGTTTATAGTCACCATAAAAATAGTTTATGGGCTGTTGGACTGTGAAATCTTGATAGGATGGGGTATCATCCATTGATCCTTTTTTAGGAATGAAAGAAGGTATTTCTTGTGCATTACAATCAAATTATCTTACAAATTCTTAGGAAAACCGATGGACATGGTCATCGCGGTTCATCGTTGATGCTTCTAGTGGCATGACGCTAGCAACAAGAGAAACAAAGCATTGTGTGGCCAGTATAAAAGGCTGTATGTATTAGTGGGTTTAGGGTCAGAAAATGCATCTCTATCATCTGTATCATTTATCATGAAATGTGGTCTCTTCGTACTGTTCATGCCTGGTATTCACATCCATCTCGAGTGATCTGATCGCAAGTGTAAAGTGGACAGACAAAACAGTCCTGTGAGTCCTTGTTCATGTAAATGTATGGGCTGTTAGATTGCATGGTTTGCCAACAGAACTTATAAACAAGTGAAAGAGGATGGGAAGAAAGAAGCTATGCAGCTGTGTTTGTCTCTGCTGTGATGACACAGTTGATTAAATGGTCCTTAATTGCTGTGGTGGATGCATTGGGAAACTTTGGTGTTCAAACTAGAAATGTGTCCCTGACCACCACAGAAGGTGGTTGAAATGATGGAAACAGTGCAGTTCGGACATGAATTGGACCCCTGCTCTGTCCACAAGTGCTGTCGGATCACCCGTGCCATACGTTAATGCCAGGTGTAAATGAAGCTTTTAGATCTTCTCACATTTGGTGAATAAAACTGGGAACAGTCTGCAGCTGTGGTCAGTAAAAATGAGATATGTTAGCTTTGTTAAGACAGTGGCTCTCATTTATGGTCCAGCATGTTTTAGTATGCTGGGCCAGATGCTGAATTAACCCCTTACATGGTCAGGGTCCACTGGCAGGCCCAAAGTTTTATTACACACTTCTATAACCTAAGAATAGCTCAGCTAGTTTGCATTGAAGTCCCTGTAGTTACTGAATATTAAGCCTTAGTATGTAATAAGCCTGGGATTTTATGGGGT